TGGTGTTTCGAATTTCCTCGAACAACTCTTCCACTAGACATTGAGTTTTATCAAGGCTATCTAAAGATATCCAGAGGAAAGAGATGTACAAATGTTATATATGTTGATACTTTTGATTTATGAAATTAAAATAAATAAATAAATGTATATGGGTCCAAAACCTACCCTTGCCATAAACAACCAGATGCATGATGCTGGCAGAATAGTGTTCATCATAGAATTTAACTAGTTCACTTCTTATATCTATTCCTTTTGCTTCGGGTCGTACATGAAGAGTATCCATGTTCCCTAATGCAAAAATATATCACTTTATCCTATATATGCATCACAACACCAAATCTCTTTGCATGAACACAAATTTTAAATAGGTTGAACATTTACCTGTGCCAAATTTGTGATATGGATGGTCTTCTCTACTTAGATGCTTATGTAACTGTGTCAACGAAAAACAAAGACAAAACTCAAGTTAGATGCTTAATTTACATCAACAAACTTGTGGTTTGTCAAATATGCAAGGCTTAGACAACCAGTGATATCATCCTACTTTGCTAATAACTAAATAGATATACAATTAACCCGAATATATTTTCTTGAAAGCAGGGAAAAACACCTGGAACATACGCATAGAATCAGTCAACAAGTTATTTGTATTCTCTGCAAAAGAGAGAATTCGTTAGAATTTTGTTACCTAATGGATTTACTGCAACATGAAAGGAATCGATCGAGAAAGTTAAAAATAAGCTAACCAGAGTCTACAGCCTTGATCTCCCTCATGACGGCATCAGCTGACATTAATGGTTTGATAAAGAACTGTGCAAACCTGGTTAGGCAAAAACACAAATTAGTAAACCCTTTCTCAAAAAAAAAAAACAAATCAGACAAGTTTAGTAAGCAAGAGGAACCAAAAATAGCAAACAAAAGTAAGTGTACCTGTCTAAAGCCTCATCAAAAGAATCCGTGTTGATATCAAAATGGTAGTTTGTATCTTCATTGGATGTATACGCATTTGTGCTCCCACCATGCTACAAACACACATAATTCCAATAAGCACATGCATTATGAAGTTTCAAAAAAAAAAAAGACTATCAATTATGATTGATAAATTTTATATTTATGGAACATTACCTCAGTGATGTACTTGGAGTAACTATCCTCCACTGGATATTTTTCACTTGCATAAAATAGCATATGCTCTTGAACCATAAACCCAACAACACAAAATCACATGTTACTTCCCAATCACATTAAAAATTGACTTTGATTTTACATGAAAGATTTGATAGATAAATCATTGTTTATAAAAACAAAGTTGACTAAGCTCATATGAACTAAAAGCTACCAAGAAAATGAGCTAGCCCTTCTAATCCTTCTGGGTTAGAGAACGATCCGATGCTAACGTTCATTGAAGCAGCACACTAACAACACAAACACAAATAAATATTCGGTTTATATTTTCTAATCGGTAAAAAGTAGAAACATGAATCGATATTACCTTATCAGTCTCTGGATCGCTGATTAACAACACCTCGAGAGCATTCTTGAGAACAATCCTCCGATACTCTCTCTTGTCTGTACGTGTCTTCAGAATCTCATCTACCGTCTTCGTCGCCATCGCCATTGCCGTTCTATTACTCAAGAGGTTTTTTGAGTCTTCGCTCGTTTATGTTCCAACGTCTTTCTTTTAGAAAAATACAACGAACTGAGAAGAAAAAATCTACTTGAGAGAAAGTTAAGACAACGAACTGAGAAGAAAAAATCTTGTGTGGCCCAGTCTACGCATAAATATCATCAACGTTGTATACTTTTCCATAGAGATCCAACGGCAACTAATTGAAACAGTTAAGTCTTCGCTCGTATATGCCAATAAGTCAACATC